CATTTCCATCTATGGGCTGCTCTTTCAGAGTGCCACAAGAACCCCTTAGAATGATATTTTTAAAATCCATGTTATGGTAAGTGTGCACATAAAGTCTTTGTACACTTTCTAAAATCCACATAAGTGGTAAGTGTGCACGTTATGCTTTGCCCACTTTCTTAAATCCACATAAGTGGTAAGTGTGCACGTTATCCTTTGCCCACTTTTCGAAAATCCTGTACGGTAAGGGCTACATGCAACAGCTTCGTGCTCTTTCTGAGTGGTTTAAAACCCCGGTTCCGCCTTGGGCACCACTCCTCCTATGTATCCTCTGGATACCTACTTTAACAGGGTATTGCTACAAGGGGTCTGTTGAGACAGTTCCTTCAGCACATACAAAGAGAACGTGCAGTAGCCCCTGTGTGACAGGCCAAGACTAGTATGATTCTAGGCTCTTGGTCATATTCCCTTAAAGGAATCTATTCCTGATTCCAAGCCTTGAGCTGTACCCTGGGCCCAGGAGTCTGGCCCTAACAGGTAAGTATTTGGGGGTATGTAGCCTAGGCCTTTGGCTGTAGGGAATAACGTCATTGACAGCGTCTAACGTCCCAGGGGCAACTCTCATAACAATATGGTAGAGTTGGTGCTTCGCACTCGCCATGGTTCTGGCATGCACTCCCCTCAGCATGGTGGCGTGGGTATATCGTTCCCCATAGCGACCCCTAGAGGACGCAGTTCGAAGTTCCGTCTCAGGTTACTTGTGTAACCATGGTTCCCTGAGTAGGGAATGAGACACTGCATCCTTTGGGTTTCTTGCTATGCTGCGGACGCAAGCTTCAGACGAAGAAGTGAATGATGTGTGCTCCCGGTGCCTATTTATACTATAGCCGCACCGGTAGTGACGTCATGGCTGCCGCCGGCCAACGAGTTGGTGTTTTTTCAATATATGCTTCAGACACGGATCACGACGAGGCGTTCCCCATAGCGACCCCTAGAGGACGCAATGTCTCCTGAGACATTAATTTCGATGCCTGTTTGTTTATTTAGTTTTTCTTTTTTTACCCAATGAACATAAGGATACTGATAAACACAGGGCGCATGCATTTACACTTCTTCAGGTCACAGCTGACCTGAGACTCTGGCTTTCTCCGTCTTCTTTGAAGCTCCCTATGAAATAGGAGAGAAAATACTGTCAAGTTCAACAGTATAATGAATAAATATTAACATCAAAACTGATACTTTAACCTGTTAACTTGCGTACCCATATTTTAATCTCTTTAACCTACAGTTGCGCCAGCGCCAATGAAGTCATGCAGTTAACGCGCTTCTAATTCAGTATTAATGTGCACCTAGACCGACCGCAGATGAGGCATTAAGTGAACGCACTGCGACCAACTTTACAGTTTAATGTGATCGCTCAGTTTTTCTAGATCAGTTTTAGATTTGAACAAAGAAATCAATTGCTACAAAAAGGCAGTATTAGCCATAACTTGATTGCAAATACAAATATTAGACAAGTAAAGAAAACGTGGTACTTATTAAAATAATCACCCTTTTATTTAAATATATGAAAACAGAAAACCGCTGTTAACAAGTTAATGTAACATTTCCCATTCAATGACTAGTAAAATAATGGCAACTTACCAGGGGTGTGGACTCGAGTCACTTGACTCGAGACTTGACTCAGACTCGGGTCCCAAATTTGATGACTTGTGACTCGACTCGACATAATTAAAGAGACTCGACTTAAACTTTGACAGCAAGGACTCGAAACTTGACTTGGACTTGAGCCCTGTGACTCGGAAAGACTTTATGATCAGATCAAAGTCGTTATAGACGCGTCCCTGCAGCGTTGCGCTTGACTGGCAATAAGCCAGAGACTGCGTTCAGGGAGCGCTGTACAGGCTAGTATAAATTAATGGAGTAATAGCATAACTTACGACAAAAGAACAGAGATAAAAATAATAATAATAAAAAAACAAATTACGTGATTCGTCTAGTAGCGATCTCCGCTCGTGAAAAGTGCTGCCCTGTCCGTTTGATCGCCGCCCAGCAGACACACGGAGCGGGCATGAGAAACGAGATGCGCGGCCGTGATCACTCACTGGTGCTCGCCTCATCATCACTGTGACCGCTGCTGTTAAATATTCCTCGCTTCTTTTGTTTGTCTGACACTGAGGTGCACCATGAGTGATGGATCCGCATCCCGCCACGACCCTCGCACTCTGCCAACTCGATGTGCTTTCATTTTCATTTTTATTTGTAATAAACACCTCTCTGAGACCTGTTTTGTCAGATCTCCACTGTTTTTGTTCGATCAGTTACATATTTTAATTGCATGTGCATTTTAACCCTTAAATGCATGAATGTTTCGCCAATCATTATTACATATTCGGGTCTTTAGCGACCCGGACCAGGGTGCGAACCACGGGGGAGCTCGGCTCCCCTTAATAAGACATGGGCTCCCCTGAAAACGTGATTTGTGAAATTTTGGGGGGTCTCAAAAAATATTGGCAATGTGTTATTTTAACATGCAATTTCAGTTTTGTGTAATGTGATCATTGTGGATTATTATGTGTAGAATTGCAAAAATATAATTCATTCATGCATGACGGCGGTTTAAACCTAATTCACTTCAATAAAGATAACTATACATGCTAGATCTTGTCATGAGCATCAAGGTGTGGGGGCGCTGCAGTGCAAATTCCACTCATGTTTAGTACATGTTAACTCAAAGATTCGTAGAAAAAATATAAATGTTGGACTCAGGTCGATTCTGTGTTAAGGTAAGACATGTTATTCGCAATTATGTGTTGTGGCTGGGTTGTTATAGGTCTGCGTGACTCTCGATGTCTTAGGCCTAATTGAACGGAGGAATTATGGTATTCTTCTGTAGCCTGACGACGAGTAACTTTAACCGTTGTTCATATGAACTCAGACAGCCTGATGCTTTGTTTATAGACTATTTGTGGGTGGCTGTTTGTTGTTTCACCTATTAATTTGTGTCGATAAAGTATAATAGGGTAAATCCTGTATAGTGATTTATCCTATATAGTGCTTGCATAAAGCAAGTAGTGCATACACTTGTAGCTGTTATGTAACTTTGTAATTCATTGTAAGCCCCCATTTGAGGCACGCGCAAGAGCATGAACCCCAACCCCGTTATAAAAAAAAAAACAAGTGGGCTCCCCCAAAGTCCACGGTATAGTTCGAACACTGACGCGGACCTATATATACAGCACGAATGGATCTTTAACTGCTGCAATAGCAAAAAAAAACTCTTGATATTTTAAGAACAATTACAGAAGAATAAAATAAAGCATAATTCATTACCTTTTGAAACTTAAAAGGGTTCAATTTGAGCAGATGATTTTACCATTGCTGTCATCGTCAGAGCGCACTTCCACAGTACATTCAGCATCTGCCTCATATTCACAATCTCAGCCATATTCTCAAAACTATCGTTTTCAATGACTTCACATTCAATATTTTTATCATTGGCAGCTTATTCACCACATCCAGCATCAAATGACAGTGACATTTATATTTCATTGCGTATATTGCTCTGCAGTAAAGCCATTCAAACCACTTACATTTTTGCTGATGATATTCGTTTGTTTTATGCCTGCGGTAATTATGAGTGAAACGTCACGTCATTGTGTATCAAACAGTGCCACCTTGAGGAAAAAGGTGTGCATTGCACATATTGAGTCATCAGATATGTAAATATAGTTGTGCAGGAAGAAATACTTACACATTTACATACCTCGGGTCTCTTGCAACAGGATTAAAGTTAATTTTAAATATAATTTAAATCTGATCAAAATGATGAGTTAAAAATGTAAACCTGCTTATTTTTTAAAGGTTTGAAGTTTGTTGCAACAGAATTATTAGATAAACCTTGATATAATCTAGATTTAAAATTAATTATTGCAAACCATTCAGCTATAATTTGAGGAAGAAAAATGCACATTAGGCCTAATGTCTGAAGTGAGCAAGCGGCAATAGGCCTTACTGTACATACTGTTCTATAGTATTTATCGATATTTTAATTTGTGTGTTCTTATTTTTACTCTGTTCACTTGTCTTTAATGATGTTTGAACTTTAGTTAGGTAGTTTTTGCTGTGTTATCAAAGTAGGCCTACTTAAAGTGTTTGTTTGTTTTTTATTTAAGTTAAAATGTTAAGCAAAGTTACATTTGTTTTAAAACCTCCATTTTTATTTGTATTTTATTTATTTATTTACTTTTCTGATCCCAAAAAATTATCTGATCCGTGACTCGAAAACTGCAATATGATCCAAACCGTGAGTTTTGTGATCCGTTACACCACTAGTACGAAGTACACAAGTCTAGAAACAGGTTTTGCCTACATCATCTCGGTCCAGGCTTTGGCCAGAGCCGCTGCCTTCATCCTAACAAACCAAAACAACATTTATGATTTCATCATTTGGATGTTTACACCCTCAGTAAACTGCTAAAAGTTGTTCATCGCAAATCTGTAAGGTAGTTAAAAAAAACATCCTTTCATGACACTCTTCTTGCCGTTCTTCAGCCTGCCCTTCTAAACGCTCCTTTAAGTAGTAGAGAATAAACATAATTTCAATTGTAGTAGTCAGAATCTGCTAAGGGGTAATTAAATGAATTTTTTAATAAAATAAAAAAGTGAACAATTGTTTTGGAAAATTAAACAACATTTTGATAGACTTTTAAACAACTGAGAAGACCGTGATAAAATTACATTTTATAAAAATCATAAGTTCAATATCAAAACATCTCAAGATCACTCATAACCAAAATCAAAAGTTATAGCCAACATTATGTATATATAAAAAAGTCAAGAATAGAGAAATTAACAGTAATATTCAAATTAGGAAGTGTTAAAATCAGAATGTGTAGGTTGTGCATAAAAACGTCTTTGATTAAACAACATTAATCTCAAGGTATGGTCCACTTACAGTACCTTTGGGAGTAGATACAGAGCTGACCGATTTAGCTCTCCACTGGCTTTCAGCACAGATGTGAAAGTAGTGAAACATTAAGTCTTCAAATTTTTTTATGACAATCAACCCTGGCCAAGTCAAAATCAGTGCTGCCCAGTCTTGGAAAAGAAGTTTTCAGAACATCAAGGAACTCCTCGGCCGATAGAGACACTGGCACCTGATTTTTTTTAAAGCTTCCACTATCAAAAATGTGCATGAATAAAATCACTACAATATAATTATTTTTGCAGTATTCTCCTACAGTGACGATTTATGCATAATTTATTATCATACCCTTTTGGGGATGGAATGTTTCCAAATCAGGAACGAGGATGAGGCCAACTCTGAATGTTACATGCCGTGTTTGCACCCTCCTTCTCCTCGGCCCTCTAACAGGGTCAGAATTCTGTCTAAACATCCTCAGCCTGAAAGAAATGACAGAAAAAGTGCCGATTGAAACGGCAAAGCCTGATGTATTAGCCAATGTTCCCAAATCTAAATATATTTTTTTTATCAGAATGGAGTAGATATCCAATGGCAAGTGGTCCTGATAGTTAAGTTCAGGTTTATTAACATTTCAACATTACAAGTAAGGTGACCAATGACATTCATAAGGAAAATAAATAGCACTCTGATATTGCGCCAACTGTTGTACACAGAAGCAGTTCCGGGGGAATGACGTATGAGGTCAGCGTTGCGCATGCGCCCGTGCGTCTCATGAAAACCAACGTTTGTTTACAGGATCAAAAGAAGCAAAGTTTCCTTACTTTAGCAAAGGAAAACAAGTCTCCCCTTAGCTTGTACCGAAATCCCCCGACATTCTTCTTTACAAATCCTCGTTTTTGTACTTCTAATTAGTGACCGTTGTTTTGTTTTCGATGTTTTGCATGCGCAAAGCTGTCCTCATGCGTCATTCCCCCCGGAACTGCTTCCGTTTACAACAGTGAGCGCAAGCTAGAGTCAAGTGATTATTACATTTTGAACATGGATATTTTTCTTACAAAAACACATCGATTCGCTACAGGAGGCCTTTGTTCACCCCCCGGAGCCGTGTGAGACACTTTTTTTGTGGAAGGGTGCTTTATATTTCACGTCTTTTGAACCTAAGGAATGCAACACCCGCTGAGTACAACGATAGAGCTTGAAAGATCAAAGACAATTTTTTATATAACTCCGACTGGATTCGTCTGAAAGAAGAAAGTCATATACACCTAGGATGCCTTGAGGGTGAGTAAATCGCAGCTTAATTTTTATTTTTGACTGAACTAACCCTTTAAGCGTGCAGAACAACTGCCCAATAAAGCATTACAATAATCTAACCTTGAGGTCATAAACACATGGATTAACATTTCTGCATTTGACATTGAGAGCATAGGTCGTAATTTAGATATATTTTTGAGATGGAAAAATGCAGTTTTACAAATGCTAGAAACGTGGCTTTCTAAGGAAAGATTGCTATCATATAGCACACCTAGGTTCCTAACTGATGACGAGGAATTGACAGAGCAGCCATCAAGTCTTAGACAGTGTTCTAGGTTATTACATGCAGAGTTTTTAGGTCTTATAATTAACACCTCTGTTTTTCAGAATTTAGCAGTAAGAAATTACTTGTCATCCAGTTTTTAATATCGACTATGCATTCCGCTAGTTTTTCAAATTGGTATGTTTCGCCGGGCCGCAAAGAAATATAGAGCTGAGTATCATCAGCATAACAGTGAAAGCTAACACCGTGTTTCCTGATGATATCTCCCAAGGGTAACATGTAAAGCGTGAAGAGTAACGGCCCTAGTACTGAGCCTTGAGGTACTCCATACTGCACTTGTGATCGATGTGATACCTCTTCATTCACTGCTAGGAATTGATGGTGTTCATACAAGTACGATTTGAACCATGCTAATGCACTTCCATTAATGCCAACAAAGTTTTCTAGTCTATTCAAAAGAATGTTGTGGTCAATAGTGTCGAACGCAGCGCTAAGATCCAATAGTACTAATAGAGAGATACAACCACAATCAGATGATAAGAGCAGGTCATTTGTAACTCTAATGAGAGCAGTCTCAGTACTATGATACGGTCTAAATCCTGACTGGAAATCCTCACAGATACCATTTTCTCTAAGAAGGAATATAATTGTGAGGATATTATCTTTTCTAGCATCTTGGACAGAAAAGGGAGATT